AGAAAAACCTATATGCAGTGCTTGTGCATGTAGTCGACTATAATGCAAATTAGTCGACTATAAAACCTGTGAGTACAAATGAACTTTAATTTAAATTATTAATTGAACATATACCTAATTCCCTTCTTAATTTAACATAAATTTCTTCTTTTAAAGGCTTTGTTAATATATCTGAAATTTGTTTATCAGTAGGTATAAATTCTAACGAAATATCACATTTAAGCATATGATCACATAGGAAATGATGTCTAATATCAATATGTTTTGTACGTGAATGTTGAATCGGATTTTTAGATAAATTAATTGCACTTGAATTATCACACATTATGGATGATATGGGACAATTTATGTCAAAATCTAATAATGTTTGTTTCATCCATAAAACTTGAGCACATGCAAGACTTACAGCAATATATTCTGCTTCAGTCGTAGATAATGATACTAAATTTTGCTTTTTACTAAACCAAGATACAAGTGAATGTCCTAAGAAATGACACGTTCCACTTGTACCTTTTCTATCGGATTTATATTCGGCAAAATCCGCATCACTATATGAAATTAAATCAAAAGTGCTATGTTTTGGATAAAACAATCCATAATTTGTAGTATCTTTAAGATATCTAAAAATTCTTTTCACTGCTTTAAGATGAGATTCTTTAGGATTAGATTGAAATCTAGCACATAAATATATACTAAACATAATATCATGTTTACTTGCAGTAATGTAAAGAAGTGATCCAATCATACCTCGATAAAGCTTTTGATCAACATTCTTACCATTTTCATCTTTGTCAAGTGATGTAGTAGTACTCATTGGTGTTGGTTTGCTTGTTGTATTTTCCATTCCAAAGTGTTTGAGTAAATCTTTTGCGTACTTGCTTTGATTGATGAATATTCCTTCTTTTAATTGTTTAATTTAAAGTCCAAGGAAGAAATTGAGTTCACTCATATGACTCATTTCAAATTCATCCTGCATAGTCTTAGCAAACTCTTGACAAAGATTGTTATTAGAAGAACCAAAAATAATATCATCTACATATATTTGAAATAATAAAATATCTTTATTTATTTTATTAATAAATAAAGTTGAATCTACTTTTCCAATATCAAATCCTGAAGTTAAAAGAAAATTCTTTAATCTATCATACCAAGCACAAGGTGCTTGTTTAAGACCATATAAGGCTTTCTTAAGTTTAAAAACATGATTTGGAAAACTTTCATGTTCAAATTCGGGAGGTTGTTCTACAAAAACTTCTTCTTTTATAAAACATTTAGAAAAGCACTTTTAACATCCATTTGAAATAATTTAAAATTCATAAAACATGCAAATGCAAGAAGAATTCTAATAGATTCTAAACGAGCAACAGGTGCATAAGTTTCATCATAATCAATACATTCTTCTTGATTATAACCTTGTGCAACTTGTAGGCGTCAAAAAATGACAACTATAGTAATGTAGGCGTCAAAAAATGCTGAGAGATATCCGAATACAGCTCAAAAAGGCAGAAGAACACAAGTATGGGCTGTCTCGCAGGCGAGACAGTTTTTACTGTCTCGCACGCGAGACAGTGTTCTCTGTCTCGCACGCGAGACAGTTTCAGAACTGTTTTATAACTGCCACACACGTCCATTAACTGTCGAGGAACGTGGGAAACGTGGTGGGCGAGAATCACGTTGATAACTGCCAAGATAACATAGTTTTAAAATGTGGGAAGGCAGTTACAAGAAAACTGTCTGGAAGTTGAGGATTTCCGAGATAGTATTTATTGTCTCGGAACCCGAGACAGTGTTTACTGTCTTGGAACCCGAGACAGTCTTTGCTGTCTCGGCCCAGACAGTCTTTGCTGTCTCGGCCGCCGAGACAGCAAACACTGTCTCGGGAATGGTTTTTTTCCCAGGGGTTATAAATACCCCCCTGAGATCGATTTTTTGGAGGGAGGCTGATCAGAGCACATTATTGAGCAATTTTGAGCAGAGAGAGAGCAGACACTATTGTTCTTGGATTCCTTGAGATTCGAGCTTTGACTTGATCTTAAGAAGAGTGATCATCTTACTTTGATAAGATATTCACTTCAAATTCTCACTTCGATAAACGAAGGAAGAATCATTAAACCCCTCACGATTCAATCAGAATCTGTGATTCGGTGGTCCAAGAGTCAAAGCGCTCCCGGCACAGGCAAAGATCCCACGCAAGCAGTGATCCAAACAACGATCCTGCGTTTGTTTCTAAAAAGTTGTAATTTTCCTATTGTTGTGTAAAAGAAGTCTTATAAAAAGGCTATTTCTTTTGAATTTGTTGTAATCGACCGAAGATATAATGAATTCCATAACGATACCAACTTTTGACGCAAACAAACTGGCGACCACAGTGGGAGCCAACGGTCTCGCTGCCGAGACTGTCGTGTCGCAGCCGATCAA